CACACACACACACACACACACACACACACACACACACACACACACACTTCGATATCATATAAATCTATGCACGTCACATGCTGTACATTAAAGTATTTTGTTGAAATGTATTTTACAACGAAAATATTTGAAATGCAAATTACAAAACACATTTTTAGGGAGTAATTCAAATACAAATACAAAATACGTATAAGTAATTCAAATACTGCCTAGTTCTGCCTGTAGCACATAACTTAGACCCGAAGATACTTATTTACTTTGATAATTATGATAATAATTGTCTGATAATTATCCGGTATATATCCAATAATCATCCTTGCTGATTCATAGTCTTGTCTCTTTAATTTTTGCCTAAAACATCTAATGAGACAACTATATAACAAAATTTTATTGTATGTCAGGATGTGGTGAAACCACAACCATGGTATTCAATTATTTTTTGTGAAATTACTCTACTAGTTTGTTAAAATTATTAATACAAAGATCGAATACTTAGAAAAAATTCCTTCGATCTGGCAGGATTCGATTCGATGTCTCCTCTCATCTTTGTATTAATAATTACAACAAACTATATAACTATTAAATGCACGAAGAAAAATCTTTTGGAAAATGATTTAACTTTTTTGAAATTGACATTTGATGCGTTATAAACACATAGCACGTTATGCTAGCGGTAGCATTTTGATGTTGCAATTAATTTAATAAGTATGAAGTTAAGGTCAGGTGGGGTAAGAGAAACACAGCGGGAAGAGGGACTAAAATCCATAATACCTAAAGTAATACGTTTAGCATATAGCGTCTCTCAGTCGATGAAACAGACTAACAAATTAGTTTTAACGGTTGTAAAGAGATGTCGCTACGATGTTCCAAATTTGAGAGAGAGAGAAAAAAAAATTGACAGTTGTGTAGTCTGAAAACACGAGATGGGCGCGTAATTTTTTTCTTTGCGAGATCTTGGTGAAAATATTGCTGGAGATTATTTTTATAGAAAAACACGTAGAGAAAACGGTAAGTTTTACTTTTTATTAGTTATTTCAGACCAAAAACAACAAATTATAAGAGTTTCATTGGAATAAAAATTCTAACCGCCAAAAACATTGTTGAGGTAAGAGGGTCTAGTATATAGGCACTAAAATAAGTCACTATTTATATTTTAGATTACGTCAGTAATTTAAGAACAAACACAAAAATGACTCATTGCACGTTAGCTACGTGGCCACACTGCTTCTGTACCAAATTTCATTTAGTGAAACGGTTTTCAAAGTAGAGTGGTTATAGTGACTAGAGAAGAATAAATTTCTTTAGAAGTATAAATTTATTTTTAGACCAAACATTGTTTTTCTATTATGACGATGTTTAAAAGGTACTTAAGTTACTTAATGTTGATTTGTGAACGAGTGGTTAAAATGTGCCTTTATTATGCTTTGTACCAAAAAAATTATAACAGGTTCACGGACTTTAACTTGTATGTTCCTCTTGCTCCAAAATTAATTTTTAATTTTTGTTTTTTGATAACTATACGTAATTTCAATGGTTTTAAGGTCAAATTCGATTGAAATAGTTTTACTTAGGACTTAACTACGGATATATTTAAATATATATTATATTTATATGAACTACGATGACAGTTCCTCTTACCCCATTTTTTGGGGGAAGAGAAACGTTAGCACCCTGAACGTTTTTGTCAGATACATCGTAAGTATTAATTATAGCGGAGCGATTGTTTTTTTGATTGATATCGAAATTCGTATAAGACATTATTTATTCTTCCTAGAGCTCATAACATTTGTCTCGAAATAAAGTATGTTCCTCTTACCCCATCTGACCTTAAATTTATCGAGATAATTATCATAATAATTATAATTGTCATGACAATTATCAATGATAATTATTACGCTATAATACATACATCAAAAGTGTCTAGGGATCAAGTACGTTTAAGAGTATTGCTGCAATTAGGGTTAATTATATTAACTTTTTTGTATCGCTATTGATACTTTTTAGTGAGTTTTAACATTTAAATAAGGAATATTGTTTAAAATTCGATAATAAGAAGAAAATCGATTGTCAATGTGGTTTTGTATAAAAATGAGTTATAGCGTTTTGACAAAATCATTACAATATCTGCATCGGAACCGAAACAATTTACATTATTATGGAGAGACGACATCATTTAACCCGAGAAGTGATGATGCGAGCCGTCGGAATGTTGGAAGCTGGTTCCAGGCAACGTGCTGTGGCTTTCACTCTTAACACTACACAGAGCGTCATAAGTCGCCTCTGGACGCGCTATCGCATGACGGGCAGCGTGGCCGAGCGACATGGAGGACGATCTCGCATCACGACTCGCAGACAGGACCGGTATATCCAAAATACTGCTCGACGGAATCGTACCATGACCGCCATGATGTTGGTTACGAGGCTCCACAGCTCCTCAGGCTTGCTAATAAGCGATCAAACAATCCGAAATCGTTTACGTGAAGTTGGTCTGCGATCCCGAAGGCCGCTCAGAGTTCCACCTATTGCACCCTGCAATCGCAGGACCCGTTTACGATGGGCTCGCGAACACAGAAACTGGGAGGAAGAAGACTGGCGCTATGTGTGCTTTTCGGATGAATCCCGCTTCGGTATGAGACCGGATACAAGACGTACTCGAGTTTGGAGAACATCTGGACGTCATGAACGTTTGAGATATTGTCAGGAAGTTCATCCATATGGTGGGGGAACAATAATGATATGGGCCGGTATTTGGATCGGCGGAAGAACCGATCTCATTTGGATCAGGGGTAACCTCAATGCTCAAGTTTACGCAGAGAGGATTGTTTCAGATGTTATCATCCCGTTGCGAGGCCAGTTGGGTGATTCATTTCAACTAATGCATGACAACACACGTCCACACACGGCTAGAGTCGTAACACGCATTCTTGCCGAAGCTCGTATCAACGTTCTGCCGTGGCCTGCTCAATCGCCAGACCTCAATCCAATTGAGCACGCATGGGATATGCTTCAAAGAAGAGCTGTGCCGAGTATGCATACCGTACATACTCTACAACAATATTTTGACTTGTTACAAAACACATGGGCGGCCATTCCTCAAAGTGATTTTGATGAACTCATCTTAAGCATGCCAAATCGCTGTAATTGTGTGATTCTGTAAATGTGATGATGGTGGAAATACAGATTATTAATTTTCTTATCTTTACAATAAAAATGAGCAAAATCATCATTTTTGCCATTTTTTTGTCATTTAATTGACGCCGTTAATTTGAGTTTTTTTCCACAATTTGCAAAAACATCAATTTTAGTTTATTTTAATTAAATATAGGGGTAAGCGGTTAAATAAAACATAAGCATTAAAGTAAGAAGTCGTCCTGGAAGACTGGATTTGGTAAATATTGCTTAAATAATTTTTATTTCAAAAATATTCACTTGATCCCTAGACACTTTTGATGTGTGTATTTTGATAATTATTAATCCTGTTTGTAGCTATAAAATAGTACTGCCACAATTTATAAGTTTACTTATGCAATCTTTTTCAATAAAAGCAGTGGTTGAAGTCAGGCTGTATTTTTTTTTATAATACAAATAGTGCGCCTGGTGGTAAGCGACACGCCTGTTCATAACAGTTGCTGTGCCACTAAGTGCTTTAAATCGCAAATATTTACGTTGACAAGTCCCATGTGCCTGCAATTTCACGCGCAATCTTACCTTTCATAGCCGGAACCTAGCAATGTTCACATTACTGCTTGTCGGCAGAAATAGGTAAGGTAGCGGTACTCTAAATAGTATATTATGATGATGACGTAGGAAATTTCTATCGTTATTACATTTCTAACGTTAGAAAACTACAATGGTTGTTTGGCGCGTCAAAGAAAAGCTTAAAAGTATATATAATTTATTTCTCCAGACACAGTATAACATGAAAATGATACTGTAGTTTCTCTTTAGATAGTAAAAATCTCCAGTAATACTGTTGTACTATTCAGATCTCAAACATCGGTCTGAGCATCGCTTGAGGCAGTCGGGATCGTTGCGACAGTGCGCGCGGCAGCTCGCCTGGCAGCGGGTCACGGTGCGTACGTTCGTGTGGGGTAGTCGTTCGTCGAACATCAGGCTAAAAAGCAAAAGAAAGTCTGAACGTAAATTATTGATTTAAAAAAAAAAAAATTTAACGATGTTTAAACATTGTGATGCAACATCAACACTGCCAGGAAATCGGTCACAAGCGACATAAAACAAGAATACGATGGAATCCACAATGTATTTTTCTTGTTTTCTATTGTTGGTGTACGTACATTGTAATTTCTACCGTAACCTGACTGGATTTCATATTTACTTGAGGTTTTTATATTAATGGAAATATAACTATTGTTTTTTGGATCTAAGTAAATCCGAGGAAAAAGCGTTTGAATAATGCTTTATTATTTAATCTAAGCAATCAGGGTTCAGAATGAATTTTACTTCTTGTTATCATAATAATGTCCACGGTCAATTTGTGACACGCGGACTGTAATTAAAATTAATCTCGCCTTTTTCCCATTAAGATAGGTAAAAGCTACGAGACATGTAGATTATATGATAATAATCTCAACTAAAGAAATAAAATCGATACCTCCTACGTAAGTCTACAACGAGCCACAAAGTAACATTTTTTGCATTTTAACTTAAATATCCTTTTTTATGTATATTAAGAAAAGATCGAAGATGAAGAAGACTTCTTTTTTGAGTTCGCTCACATTGACGATTAAAACTTCTTCATAAATAAAATCGAATGTTATAAAAAATCGAACCGGAAACACATTTGGACATCACTAATTGATTAGAATTCGAGCTGTCAAAAGTTAAATAAATAGTTGGACGGAGTATAGTCAGTATAATTTTATTTAGGTATATTTATTTATACATTTATGTATGTAGGTACAATATATCGGAAGTTATATATAATTCAATTAATTTTATTTGTAAATTGGCACAATACCACTCCCTCTCCGATTAGTTTTCCTCCACCTCAAAGATTGTCTGGAAGAGATCGCTCAAAGCGATAGGACTATATATATATACATATGTATGTATGCAGTTCTCGAGCCCACTGGCATCTGGTGCAGTGACGATAATAGGTCTGACAGTATGATTGTCGGTCCATGGAAACTAGGGAGGCAACTAGTGTGAGACGCAATCTGTGTGGACACTGTAGCCCCCTCCTTGTTCTTGCAAGTGTGGGCGGCGCAGGCTCTGGCCACAGCAGCCGAGAACCGCAAAACGCTCAAATACGCCAACCTTGCCCGTTACAGCTTTGTGCCTTTTGCGGTTGAAACCCTGGGTCCCTAGGGGCCACAGGCAAAAATTCTAGAGAACGAGCTGTCGTCTCGTAGAAGCCTCCGGTGGCCACAAGACTAGCAGCTATTTCCGCCTAAAAATAAGTTTAGCAATTCAAAGGGGAAACGTTGCTAGCCTTCTGAGCTGTTATAAGTAATTTAGATATGTGTAATACCAAATAAGTAATGCAATCTATCTCTTATTAATGTAAGGGTTCACCTGTCAATAAAAGGTACAGATGTACAGGTAGCGGCGTCGCAGTGCAGCACCGGCGGGGCCACGGCGGCCATTAACGAGTTGTCCTCACCAACGACGTATGGTATATGGTCAATGTACACGTTGTCGAATAAACACATTCTCTTCATGTATTCTTCGGAGTGCGTAAACATCGTCGGAGGTATACCTGGGGAGTTATTTATTTCGACATAATAATAGGTAGTCTATATATAATAATAACGCACACACTCAACATAGCACCGTACTAGGGAAACACTGTGTCGCGGGTGCCATGGACACACACATAGACAACCACAAATTACACCCCAACTCACGAGAGAAATAAATGTACCGACCCGGGAATCGAAACTGGGACCTCTGCGTGACAGTCCAGCATGATACGGTCACGGAGGCCGTTAATATATTTTATGTATAGTATTGACTAACAATTATATGGACGTCGGGTCCGCGCTAAAAAGTGTCTGAACTTATAGGGCGTTAAAATCGTATACAGAGCGTCATTCACGCTTGCCACGCTAGCCATCCTTGACTACAATGGCAGCGGTGAATCTTCGATTGGCGAGAAGATGGCACAGTCTTGTTTATTGAAGTTTAGTTCCAAGGTGATCAGTAGCACAAAATAGATAACACAGAGGCATTGACTTACAATTATACGGACGTCGGGTCCGCGCTAAAAAGTGTCCGAACTTATAGGGCGTTAAAATCGTATAGGTACAGAGCGTCATTCACGCTTTAGTCTTCGTTTGTTCGACTGACAGCGAAGCAAGCAAAATTAGACAGTACTGCGATGACATTACAATTTAAATTCAACGTTTTAGCTTTTTCATATTCCTTTACATGTCACTACGTTTATATAGGTTGACTTGGGACATTTTTTTCGTGGTTTTTGTATTAGACCCATCGTCCATTTATTTGTAAGTCAATGTGTATAGTCCAAATTTTAAATAGTCATGTAGTTGTTGTCAAAAGTTTTGCCAAAAATGTCTGAATTCTGAAAGTTACGACATTCTAATGATCATTAATTGCGTTATTGCCTTTTTTGTTATTATTTGGACAGTTGGTCTACTCTAGTATCGAGATAATTTTTTATTCATACACATTTTATCAAGAATAGACGAATATGATTGTCCATATTGTATTAAAATTAAAAACTTTAAAATATGTCTCCTTTTTTGTATTTTTCATAAACATAGTTCTAAATACAATGTATGTATCTACGAACTTACAAAAATTGACAATTCAAATGAACTTGCGTTCAGTAATTGGATGAATAATGGGTCGAGGATGATTCAAATGAAACAAGTTCGGTTATTCATTTCATAAGCGTGACCAATATTCAGTCGATAGTCGATAGAATATTTATCGACTGCAATCACTAGCTACTCGCAAGCGAGCAACATTTGCATAATGAACTGTCATTTTACGCTGCCTTCAAAAAAGACAATCCATATCCCTTTCGGACCGGCTACGAAACTACTTGGAATTTCTCCGAAAAAAAAACTTGTATCTACCTGAACTTGACCTGTAGATGACGAATCTGAGGTCAATTTTCCATTTTCCGGCCTCCTTCTTGGAAATTTTTTTTGCAAGCTAGATAGTTATAAGCGTGATGTTTTTGACTTAATCACATTAAATATTTAATGTATTATTGCGTTTAGGTATTAAAAAACAGTATTCCAAACGAAAAAGCGTAAATCAGATACTCACTATCCAAAAAGGTGAGTCCCGTAAAATCGGTTCGAATTGATGTGTTGATACTCGCAAGGCGACGATGCACTAATTTTAAATGCAAGGTAAAAAGTTCGTCTAATGCGCAATCGTGTGACGAAGGCCTCGTTCAGATAGGTAGAAGAGTTTCCTTTGGAAAATTATTCTTATACACCAATCAATCGTGTATGGCCAGGTTCGAAAGGGATACGGTATTTGCAATTAAGTTTTCAAACGTTCAAAATGTAATGCATCTTCTTGTGTTGCATTCAAATTGGTTCACAAATGTCGCAGTTATCGCGTAACTTACACGCAAAAAAGTCGAATTGAGAACCTATTTCTTTTTTAAGTCGGTACGCGGCTAAGTGACAAAATATTTTTTTTTTAAGACATCATGAAAAAAACCATAACCCAGTTTTAGAAAATTGAAATTGTTTAATGATATTTTAGTGATGCGTCGTTTGGGTAGGTTCCGATAAAAAAAAAAAAAAAAAAAGGAAAAAAAGAAAAAAAGGTTCCGATAAGTCGAACACGTTAACTAATTTTAGCTGTTTTTAAAAGAGATTTTTGTGCTTTATTTTTTCTCTTTAAAACGGATATTTGACCATTTGTCACTTAGCCACGTTTTAGTTAATGGACGGCAGAAATATTCGATACAATATTTATGCTCAGGTCACACAGAGGCGGATGCGGAAGCGTTCAGGACGTCAGCTGCGTGTTTTAATGGGGCAGGGTTCATATAAACTCGTATATTACAAAAAATTCCGCGCTTGAAACGCTTCTGCGGCCCCCTCTGTGTGGCCAGAGCATTATAGTGCTTTGGTCTCAGTGTCCCACAGCAGTAGAACGTGTACTCACCTACAGCGAAATAACGCGTATTACAAGTGTGCTCTTGAATGAGGTCTGAGCGATTATTGAACCATCCGATCAACCACTTTAAGTCCTCGAACTTGGTGATCTCGTCGTTGATTACTTTTCGAGTGAGTCGGAGATACTCCACGTCCGCTTCTACTACTGATTCGTCCCTATCGTCCGGGTAGCTGTCCAAATATATTTACATTTTTAATCCTTTACGTATAAAAAATCAACATAGCCTCGCACTAAGGAAACACTGTGGCGCGGGTGCCATGGACACACACATAGACAACTACAAATTACACCCAAACTCACGAGAGAAATAAATGTAGGCCATACAAATTGTTACGGACGGCCGTACGCGTCTGGCCGGTCAGAGCTAGAATTGAGAGGTAAATGGATAATTCAGGAGCTCTGATTGGCCGAGCAGCGTAGAGACCCATTGATAGGACCGGTACGGTGTGGGAGACACCTTACCGGTATAAGTATAAGCGAATATTGGTTTTTGCGTTCTTTCTCTTTTGATTAGATTCATTCCTATTCTTGCTCTCTTAGGAGTAAGAAGTGTTCATGATTGTAAGTCAGATCGACATAAGCCTTTTATATGAATATACAGTCCACTTCACAAGATTTAGGAGTTTCATTTGAGAAAGGATATCAAAGGCGGTTACCCGACATATTAAGGATCGGCGCCGTTATTATACACAAATTATTTCTCTCGGCTCGGGAATCAAATCTGGGACCTCAGCGTGGCAGTCCGGCATGGTAACCGTTCGGCCACGGAGGTAGTTTAATGATACCTTTGTGAATAATAATAATAGACATATACATATAATAATAAGAAGTCGTGCGTCTGGTGGTAAGCTACACGCCTGTCCATAACAGTTGCAGTACCACTCAGAGCTTTAAACCGCAAAGATCTGAGGGGCACTGAGACATACATTGACAAGTCCCATGTGCCTGTAATTTCATCAGCACCCTTACACTTCAAAACCGGAACACAGTAACGCTGACATTACTGTTTGGCGGCCGAAATAGGTAAGGTGGCAGAATTAGGTAAGGTGGCAGAATTAGGTGGTGGTCTACGATTGGTAATCTTAGGCCTGCAGACGGCCATCTTCCTGATGAATCAAATGCTTTTAGATAAGCCACTATTGTAGAAAGTCATCGATTTGTGAACCTATTTCGATGATTCTTTTTTTGTTGGAAAGAGAGTACTTTAGTAAGCTGGATAAGATGGATTCATCTCCTACTTTTGCTACCCTTAGAGATGGAATATTTTAAAAAAGAAAATGAAACCGAATTCAAAATATCTGATGTGACGTCTACACAATTTTTTACAGGGACAGCTCAATAAAACCATGTTTGGTGTTAACGTGCTCATGCGACACATCCGTTCACACCGATATCTCGCGTCGTAACCTCTCCCTTATTTGAAGTCGGCTAACAAGACAAAACTTACTTCCGATACTGCATCTTCAGGATGGCTTCTGCCATATGAATTCTGAAGATGACTCCTGGCCTTAAATGCGCTTGGTACAAGTCCTTCGGTATTTCCGTGTAGGTTGAGTCGTAGGTCTGAAAATAGGTTTTTGAGGCGTATTTACAAGGCCTTTCATCATAGCATGAACCCATATCTCAACAGGACTGAATCTTTATACTACATATCGTAATAGCCTGGAAATAGTTTTTATATTATGTAAATGGCCGTGGATATCAATTAATACATCTTTAATATGAAATATAAGAAGTCGGTTTTTTGTCCTTGTAATATTATAGGAAATAAAACTATTATTCCGGATTTAAAACGCGTATATTTGTTTTTTCAAACAAACCGACGTTTCGGGCCCTTTACAAAATCCCAAACAGACATAAGACTGCAGTACTAATTAATATGTTTTAGTTTATTCTAATTTGTATTAATAATTAATAATAAATTGAACTTAATAAAAATTCATTCAATAAAATAATTTGTAAAACTTAATATAGCGTAAATTGGAATGTTTTCTTTGTAAAATTAAAAATAAGGTATTTAATTAATAACTATTTTAACTATAGTGAAAAAATAGGGTGGTTTGCATCAATATTAGACATAACTGGTTGAAGACTGTACCACCTCAGTCAATCGTGACCATGGGACCTGTAAAGGGCCCGAAACGTCGGTTTGTTTGAAAAAACAAATATACGCGATTTAAATCCGGAAAAATAGTTTCATTTCCTATGTGTAACAATCGCGAAAACCTAAGAACTCGACTTGTAATATTATTTAAATATTGATCATAAGCTAATTAACGTATTCAATAATTAATAAATGACATTTATGAGCAATTTTTGCACATTTTCTGACGCGTTTAAGTAGTGAATAGGCAGGTTTGCATATCTATAGAAGATAGGTCTAATAATACGTCTATAGTGATTCCAAGACTGGATCGACTAAGACTTTGTAACAATGGGGCACTAAAGGTATGGTCCCATACAAAAAAATGCACATTTTATTTTTTTCCTACTAAACTATTACATTTATCGCCAAATGGGATATGACAATATTTAATTAGGACAATACATGGCGTTGAGTGTTACAAACTAATTTATAAATTAATGCTTCCTAATATGGGTAGATGGAGCTAATCTTAAACAATATAAAAGAATAGCCAGCACTATCCAATAAAATCCATCCAGAAATAGAGACGAAATGTCATTTAATTTGTTTGAAAATTATTCTGCCATATCATAACGTGACAACTGCGCTCCGATTGGCCAGCCTGAATTCGAAACAATTGACGGGTGTCGTCAATTGTTATAATTCAAATCGATCTGTTTAACTTGTGCTTTGCTATAATGGACGAAGATTGAAAATTTTCATATTTAATTACCGATGAAATGTGATTCTGTTTGTTTTGTAATTAGATGCTTTGCTGATTTTCCCACACCACCGAATAGAACAGCACGGCATTGTTAGAGATATTATCTTTATTACAATAAATACAGAATATTTTTGGAATATACGGAGACGTACACACAGGTCACTTGTTGGCGCTGTACTATTTCAGCTTTCTAATTTGTGATTTCAGTGCAAACGAGAGTTGATATTTAAAAGTGATAAAAGGCCCATTTGCCTGATAAGTTGCCAGGGATGGATGGCCTTTATTTCATCTCTATTTCTGGTTATTTAATCGGTGATTAAAATCGTGTAGTAAGTGCTATCTAGTAGCTTTGTTTTGTTAGAGTAGGTAGCTTTGAAAAATTGCAGCTTGGCTTTTTTCATTGTATTTTATTTGCCCAACGGTATTTTTAAATAGTTTCGCAACTGTGTTTTATGCAATCGCTGCATAATGAGGTTTCTTAGAGCCGATTACTGTGCTTAAACAATAGATACGCGATTTTAAGATCTAACTATGGAATGATTGCATATAATACTTTTTCTACGAGTTAAAATAATGAAACAACCAATGTTGGTACGACAGCAAATTCAAAGGCCTCTCCACACTCGTGCGCGAATCACGCGTAAAATCACGGCGTGAATCGCGGTGCGGATTGTGGCAAGGATTGCCACAGTTCCACACTCGCAGAGGTTCGTGACTGGTTCACAGTATAGTTCGCGCGCTTGACGAAGATGGACGCCGAAGTTGCTGTTGCTGCTGCGGGACTGTCTTGCACTTTGGCGATTCACAATTATGTTTTTACGAAGAAAAGAAGTTAATGTCAGTTGTTGTTCATTTGTCCAATCCATTTCCATTTTAAGCACGTTCAAATCGTCAGTAATAAAAATACAAACTCAACCGCTCACGGCACTTACTTAACCGCGAACCCTTTGGTCGCGGGACAAAATACCGACTACAAACGGGAACGTCCCGCCAACGCGGCACGAAACTGCGAAGAATTTGCGAATGGGATCTACACTCATGCTTCGCGGGTAGTTCGCGGCGTGAAACGCGTGCGAGTGTGGAGAGGTCACATGTATACCGCTTATTAATATATATTTTAACCAATCAGCAGTCAGGTAGTAGAGCGCTTGAGTGGCGTCATATTTATTTGATATTTTACATTGTTTTTAAATAGTTCTTTTTTGCTAATGGCCTTTGTACTTGGTTATTTAACATTTGGAGATGTTAATTAATAAAACAATTTGAATTTTAATAATTTCACAAATATAGTACAGTGCTTCTATTTTCTCAATGTCGCTCGGCAATCATCGGATTTCCGAATACTCACGAATATTAATGTTCATGCCATTGACATACAAATAAATGGACGACGGGTCTAATACAAAAACCACGAAAAAATGTCCCAAGTCAACCTATTTAAACGTAGTGACATGTAATGGAATATGAAAAAGCTAAAATGTTGAATTTAAATTGTAATGTCATCGCAGTACTGTCTAACTTTGCTTGCTTCGCTGTCAGTCGAACAAACGAAGACTAAAACGTGAATGACGCTCTGTATAAGATTTTAACGCCCTATAAGTTCGGACACTTTTTAGCGCGGACCCGACGTCCATATAATTGTAAGTCAATGGTTCATGCCCATTAATTATTAGATTTAAAATCTATAATAATTTCAATTTTGAACAACCTACTTTATTGTAGTTTTGTTTTGATTTCCGTAAACTATATAGAGCTGTAAAACTATTTCCCTATTTTTAATAAGATTTACTCCATATCAATAAGTAAGTTAACAAAAGTATAAAGTAAATAAAATGTGCTTCTTTTATGTAACAAAAAATGAATATTTTCCCGGTTATTAATCATTTCAATTCAGTCCGTATCTGATTGCATTTCTTCATCAGACATAGCTATGTTAGTAGTTTGCCATCGATGGAATAATCACTTTCCGTGCTGCTCGAACAGGTATTTATTATAAAATTTTAAATGATAAACATGATAATAATAATAATTGTAATAACTAAAAATGTAATAGCAACTCTATATACTTCCAAGTCGTCTGGTCTGTACCAAAGGCAAAGGGCAAGTGAATAAACCCCGACGACAGCCGAAACACGAAGCTGAAGTTAAAAGTTGAAGAGAAAATGGAAGCACTGTAACGTTATTTTGTTCAGGAATACAGTGACCGCCCCGTTACACGACGCGAAAGTTGTCGCGCGGCCGCCCGGTTGCCACGCTTTCAGGTATATTAATGGCGAACGTAAATTGTATTTACTAGGCAACAACATCTAAATTTCTCTGAATAATAAAACCGTGCGGTTGCTATTCGGCGGCCGCGCGGTCGCCGCGTAGACCAAAGACAGCCAACCTCGCCCGCGCGTCTGGGAGCTATTTAGCTTTTACGTTTTAACTTCAATGAGCAATTTAAGTTAAAAAGTAAAAGTTAAATACGAGAGGTGCTCCAAAAGTAATGATAATCGGCCATTTGTAGAGCACATAAAAATATAAAAAAAATTGTTTTTGCTCCCTCACATACCCAGCCCGTTACACCAAGTACCAAGTACCAATACCCACGAGTTCAGCATAAAAAAATCATACAAATAGGCTACGATTACCAGGAGGTACATTCATTTGAATAGGAACAGTTGGAAAGTAAACATCAAAATGGAGAAAAACGAAATCAGAGCTGTCATCAAGTACCTCTGTTTGAAAAAAATGTCTACCAAAGACATACACAACGATCTAGTGGAAACATTGGGAATTGGAAACATTCCTCCATATTCTACAGTTGCGCGTTGGCAAAGGAGTTCAAGCTGGGTAGAACATCCATAGAAGATGAACGTCGCGAAGGACGTTTTGACGTTTGGACGTTTGAAGGACGTCAAAAAAGTTGAAGATGTCGTATTGGCAGATCGAAGAGTGACCATAAGGCATGTAGTTGAGGTCACAGGGTTCTCATATGGCAGTGTTCAAAGAATCTTTTCAAACGAACTGCCTAAGAAAATGATCTGCGCGTTGGGTGCCAAGAATGTTAACAGATGAACATAAGAAAAAACGAGTCGCCATTTCGAGGGCGAATCTCGACAAGTTCCAGACGGATCAGGACAGTTTTTTGTCGTTTTGAGCCTCCTCTCCGACGCTGAAGAAATTCAAGGTGTCAAGTTCGGCAGGAAAGGTTATGACGTCCGTTTTTGGGACGCTGAAGGAGTTATAATGGTGGAATACTTGGAAAAAGGAGCCACTATTGGCTCTTACTACGCAAACCAAATAAGAAGATTGCGGGAGGTCATAAAATAAAAAAGACGAGGCAAACTCCGAGCTGGAGTTTTATTTCACCAAGACGACGCACCGGCTCATAAAGCCGCCGTCGCGATGGCTGCTATTCAAGAAACGGGATTCGAATTGCTCGAACACCCACCCTATTCGCCAGACTTGGCTCTCAGTGACTTTTACCTCTTTCTTCGGTTCAAGGAACACCTCTGAGGCAAAAAAATTGACGACGATAGCGAGGTGATGACTGCTGTAGAGGTGTTTTTGGATAGTCAAGACAAAGAATTTTTTTCAAAGGGAATTATGGGCTTAGAAAAAAGATGGGACTAAATGTATTGACTTGCTAGGAGACTATCTAGAGAAATAATTTTTTTTTAGTTAAAATAAGGATATTTATTTCATATTGATTATCATTAATTTTGGATCACCCCTCGTAAATAGAGCGTACTTTGCCATGACAATTAGACGCACGCGGTTTCCGCGCTGCAGCAGCACGGCGGCCACGCGACTGTCACTTTTCATACAATTTCTAGAAGCGCTGCAACCGCGCGACAGCCGCGCTGCAGTCACGCTCGCTTGCAGTCACGGTTAGTGAGGTGTATATGTTAATTTTTCAAATTAACCACGACAGACGAAAATCGAATTGAAGAATTTATAGAGAATGTAAAATAACACCCTGCAATATGGGATAGCAGTTCCGCCAGTTGTTCCAATCGACTGGATAAAAAAAGGCATGGGAAAATTAATGTCTAAAATTTGTTGACAATTTTGAAACTGAAACTACAACTGAAAAAAACATAGCAGGTGAGTCATTTTTAACACCTATATGTGAAGTGTGTGCCCCAAAAACTAGGTAAAAGTAATGTTTCTTCGTCAGAATCCATCGCGTAACTGAGTCGAAAGATAAAATATCACTAAATATTTCGTCAGTCGCGCGGTCGACAGCGTCTAATTTGAACGCGCCCTAAATGCGCCCCGACGCGTTTATGGAGACTCTTTTAATTAGCAAAAATACGACGTTCTTTTTCTGGAACTCGTTCTCATGTTCTGTGTACAGAACTGTAACGAAATTTTTCAGTTTATTAGCGAGTACCACAGACAAAACAATTTTGGTTCAGAACTAAAAAGAACGCCTTTGTGATATGGTTTGTGAAATTGTGATTGACAGATTGAAGCACAGGAGTAGAAAAACAGGTCAGTGTATGACGATGTAAGTTAGCTCTTAATAATGTTTTCGACTTTCCAAATATACTCACCGTAACAGGTGGTTGGTATGTGTCGGAGACCCCCGTTCGTTTCTTGTTCTTTTTCTTCCCCCCACGTGCGACCGGCACGTCTGTTGTGCCTTTTGTGCCGGTGCCCTGAAATATTTCAAAATTTAAATTGTGCACAAAATGTCTAAAAAAACCTTAGAATAATATCGCATAGAAACCTAGTCCGCACACGCTAAGTGAGGCAAATTGAATCGCGCCAAAAGGGCCTACACGAGCGGGCGGGCCTTCAGTGCTCAAGGTCAACTTGCACCGCGAACAGCTCAAGAATTTTAGCTAAAAATGACGAAATGTGCGGTAAATGAGTGTAAAAATACGTCAGACAAACATAAAATAGATACTAACATCACATTCCACAAGGAAGTTACGCGTTTCAACTTGTATTTTCATATAAATATTCACTAAAACCGAAAATTAACCTACTACTAAAACTAGCCTACATGAATTTGATTTTTGCCTCACTTGTGACAGTTCGTTTGATATGAAACTATCATTCTACGCGTTATTATTCTAAGGTTTTCACACCGTATAGTAAATCAGTCTGTGTCATCAATTTTACTATATATTTTATCAAATTGATTGATTCAACAATTTCACTGTTATGCGAAATCAACCAAAGCGATTTGAGCTTGTATGAACTCTCAAGTCGAATTTTTGCTCGACAAGTTTGGAACCAGTCCGTCATCTTTAATTATTGAGATTTTGCAGCGGTGACTTGACGGAAACCGCCGCTAAATGTCATGATTAAGAACCTCGGATTCCTATTTTAAAATTGCAATGGCTGTTAAATAGCAGCTCGATGGTTTACTATTGATAAGCCTCTTACTTTTAGCAAAATACCGAACGTACAAAATCCTGTCATTTTTTATTTTATTTACTACATGTTGCTTACAGTCAACCCAAACGCAATAATAGGATTTAAAGCTAAATGATCAAACAATATTAAATAAATTACAAAAATGAATAAAATATGAAACTTTATAAAATTATAAATACAATACCATAAACAATAAATTATTACAGATTAACACCAATGAAAAAATAGATAAAATCCATTTGTTATTACATTTTAAACTAACATATTACTTAATACTGCTGTCTCCGGCAAGGACTCCAGATAGCGTCCTTAAGAAAACATGAATTTTGATCCTGAGCATGCAAAAAGGTCCAACGAGGAGTCTAAGTTAAGCAACTGCTTTAGATACTTAAGTGCTCGGGGCATAGGGGCCATCTCACTCACTCTACATCGTGTGATAGATACTGCAAATAACCTCATTCTATGAAGTCGCACCAGATTAGTTTTGTTATTTCTTTTGACAGAAGCTCCGAAAGTGTTCATCCAAGGTAGTACTGCCACCTTACTTATTTCTGCCGCCAAGCTGTGATGTCAGCATTACTGCGTTCCAGTTTTGAAGCGTAATGGTGCTGGTGAAAACACAAGCACATGGGACTTGTCAACTTATATCTCAGGGTTACGGGCCATAGTGCCCCTCAGATCTTTGCGATTTAAAGCTCTGAGTGGCACTGCAACTGTTATAGACAGGCGTGTAGCTTACAGGCGCACGACTTGTTCGTCCCGTCACTTGATATTATATTAAAAAAACATCGACACACAACTACTGATATGATTTAAAATTAGCACATTTGGAGCCCTTTTTACCTACACCTTCTACTTACGTCGCTATCATCAGGCTGTGGTGTGCTGAATCTTGAGCGGTTACGTCGTTTCCCGGTGCGTCCGCGCCGTCTCTTTGTAATCAAACGTCAAAATATTATAGCAGCATTATTTAAGGGTACGTCTGGTTGCCAAAGGCATGCGAGCTGCACACGTGCATCACATATATTAACATGTATTTAACTGCATCGCACATGCAGCGCGTTCGCCAGATCTATACGCACCCTAAGGACGCCTCCAAATTACGCGCTTGTGTAAAAGAAGTGCTGCAGTGGCCCGATTGTGGTGCTGCCATTAAGCTTCTAAATCGACCCCTCCTACGTAAAGTATCGTATGTTGAAATTAACAAGTTTACAGGGGAGTGTTTTAAAGTTTTCAATTCACTGAAATGAAGACTCATTTCAGTTTTCTTTTTAATATAAATTGTGGTTGTTCATCTAACCGACGAATCTGGGATTTTATAATACTCTATGTGAGAACGAGCTTTACCTACCGAATAAAACTGAGAAATGCTAAAGTCACGTGTTATGTTTAACTTTAAAACGCTCCCCTGTAAACTTGGCAATTTCGACATACGATACTTTACGTAGGAGGGGTTGAAATATTGTATGAAAATTAGTAACGGCTGTAACGCCACTGCTTCGCTTCTTTATGCGTCTAATGTGAAGGCTTCCAAAGAAAATGTAAATAAATATTAAATAACGCGCACACACTCATAGCCCTGCACTAGGAGGACCACGAATCGCAGGTGCCATGGACACACACACAGACGACAGGCGTGTCGCTTACCAGCAGGCGCACAACTTGTTTGTCCTGTCACTTAGTATTATGAAAAAAGTACTGCCACCTGCTGCCACTGTCTTCAAGCAAACATGAGCATTATTGCGTAAAGGTGTTGAAGGACAGGGGGGCTGGTGAAATTACTGGCACCTGGGATTTGTCAATATATGTCTCAGGATGGTGGGGGTAGCGGTAGTGTCCCTCAGATATTTGTGATTTAAAGCTATGTGTGGCACTGCAGCAGTTATGAACAGGGGAGTCGCTTACCACCGGGCGCACGACTTCTTCGTCCTGTAGCTTGGTATCACGAAATAAAAAAAAGAATCGAAGAGTCGGTTCAAAAAGAAACAAAAGATAAATTTCGACAATAATTTATTCCTTTTACTCCTCAACGTCCTTGGGTTCAGTAATGGAATCCACAAAAACAATCGAGTTACACTCTGCCGCATCGCACTGCAGCATCGGCGGCACTTCAATTGGCGTTACAGAATATTCATCACCAATCACGTAAGGGTTTCCATCAATCCACAACGCGTCAAACAAACAATATATGTGCACTTTGATTGTCATATAGCTTATAAACTTATAAATTCTGCCTCCACACTCCCCTAAATGCTCCTTAATGCTCTTATCAGTTTTGTACATAAGCAGTAAGTTGTGGAACTTCGTTATTTCATCCATGACCACCTTTTTTATGAGATTAGTGTAAATGATATCGGCTTCGATGTGTTTTTCAGGGTCGTCGTACACGCGTTGCTTTATTTTCAGAATGGCGTCTGACATCCGAACTCGGAAGATGACGCCGGGGTTCATAGACTCGGGTAGGATCCCTGGGCGGCGGGTGGTGGTGGAGAATTCTAGAATTCTATCCTTGACCGGTTCAGGATACACGTAGTGATGTGGGCGTTCGCGGATTTTCGGTCCGGACAGCGTGTTGAATCGTCTCGTTTCTTCCTGTTGCAGAAAATAATCTTGTAAGTCTTTCTTATGGGCGATGGCATTCCCTTTCGCTGTCTTAGGTGGTTGGGTTTTTAACAAACTTTCCAGCTCAGTTATTCTTAATCGGACATGTGATCGATATGATCAACATTCTGGTCTACTGATGTTGTTTTTGGGCAAACTACGCAGTCCATTAGCCAAAGATTATACACATCATACCGGTTACGAGATAAATATCAAATGGAAAAGAAAACAGGTTTATTAAAAAAAAAAATGTAAAACTTCACGTGCGTAATTTAAAAAAAATTAAAACTAACTAAGCGTAAATTAGAAAGAAAAATCTATTACTTTTTTAACGCACACACTCAAAGCCCCGCACTAGGGAACACTGTGTCGCACAACCACAAATTACACCCAAACTCACTAGAGAAAAACATGTAGGCCATACAAATACTTCTCCTGGCCGGGGAATCGAACCCGGGACCTCTACGTGACAGACCAGCTGGGCCACCGTTCGGCCACGAAGGCAGTTGCAAGTGTTGTACATACAAGTGCTTTACCAGCTTCCTAACAAGAAAGCTAGGTAAAAAATGAAATGTATAATATTTCAGAAACCTTATAAATAAGTTATAATTATTAATACAAAGACAGAACAAAAAAAATCATACTATCCGGCTGGTTTCAAACCAGCGCCTTCACTCCTCTTTGGAGCGAACTAACAGACGTCGCCAATTTTTTTACGTGATTATTGCAGATTTTTGTTTTTGGTTTTTAACGACTTTTTTGTGTGAGTTTAGCCTAAAGGGTACCTGCGTCCACCTTGCGGACGCTGACGCTGCACTGTTGTCAAGTACCCGAGTTCCTTACATTTAATATGAGCGTTTATTTATCATTATTAATCATGTCACGATGGATTTTATAATGGTTTTAAGACAAAACCGAAAATCGCGAAAAACCTTCCATAGCTGAAAACCGACTTCCAAAATGTACAGCTACTTGGTTTTTTCGGTTAACCGAGTAACTGGTTTGCATGCCCTACCTACGACCCTCTGGCTGAGCGGCGGTAGGGCAAAGCTTGGTTACCACAGCTGTACCCATTCTTAGTCTGAAAAAATAACATCGCACCTTGGGACTTCTTTTCAGTCTGTTGTGATCTCTAGCATCATCTTCTTGGTACTGGGTAAGATAATCGTCGAATTTGGAGAAGTCAAATGGAGCCCAATTTTCGTCTGTAGACGGAGGATTGTTGGTCAGAGGATCCTCCTGGAAAAAGTTGCAACTATAAGCTATTTTTAGGATTTTGCATTGGGGTAATGCTGCCGATATTAATAGAATCATTGTAATGCAAAAACGTGTGGTTAGGGCAATTCACAATGTGGGGGTCGGTTCAGAACCTTACGATAACTTAATTGTCGACCGATTCGATTAGATATAGTACGATTTCTTTTAATTTCTATTCACAACACCCGAATCGAGCGTCAAACTGTCGTATTCGAAATTGAACAGAAATGACGTCACACCCGTACGATTACTCGAACTTCTCGACCGGCAAAGGCTACAAACGTTATTCAGAACACAATTATCGAATGAAAATTACCAAACGCAGTATTGTTTACAAAGCAAGAATGTAATATGGAAATATCTTATTCTTTTAAATAAAGTCTGGATTTTGTTCAATTTTATTAATTTATTTTAATGCATTCCTAAATTTCAGGCCTTTAAGGCATTGACTTACAAATAAATGGACGACGGGTCTAATACAAAAACCACGAAAAAAATGTCTTAAGTCAACCTATTCGAAATTTAAATTGTAATGTCATCGCAGTATCGCGCTGTCAGTAGAACAAATGAAGACTAAAGCGGAGTTTGGCGCTCTGTATACGATTTTAGCGCCTTACAAGTGCGGACACTTTTTAGCGCGGACTCGACGTCCATATAATTGTAAGTCAATGCTTTAAGGTCTCAAAAATGTATATAAAACGATTTTAATTTTTCTTATAATCTATTTCACCAACTAACTCCGTAAACGCTGTTGGATAACGATATCGTATCCGAATCTGGGAGTCTACTCTCGATCTCCGTCCAACATCCGTCCGAAACAATTACTGTCAAATAAGTAATATTCGACAAAATTAAAAGACAAGTATCCAGTACGAAGCTTCATTCGCATCACGCGTCTTTTCATTTAGTCAAGTATTGCTTATTTGGCAGTAATTGTTTCGGACGCATGTCGGACGGAAATCGAGAGTATTCTGAAAGCTCGGAAAGCGCCCTTCGATTCGAGAACGATATCCCATCGAACGATTCGGTTAAAATATCGAGTTCTGAATTGGGGTCCAAGGCCCCAGAGTGTCTTTAACAGATAAGTTTAAAGAGATTGACATTCTCATACTAGCATCTAATTAATGTTAAGAAGAATTGTAATTTTATTATTTTATGAGAAATAGTGACAGATTTAACATAATACGAGGAATAAAAATTTACTGGCTATTCTTGACAGTGGTGTTCAGGAAGTCACATAAATTTATTTGAGTGGCAATGTGTATTTGTTTCTTCAAACAAACCAACGTTTCGGTCATGGGACCTGGAAAGGGCCCGAAACGTTGGTTTGTTTGAAAAAACAAATATGCGCGAATTAGACCCGAAAAAATTGTTTCATTTCTTAAATGTAGAAAGTGTCACTGCTGTGAATTTGATGTCACTTTTATGGATGGCCTTTTTGACAAAATGTAATCAAATCAAAAATATCTAAAAGAAGTTTTAGCTTAAATTTTTATTGAATTGATATTCAATAATTATTTTGTGAAATTGCCCCACTAGTTTCTTATAATTATTAATGCAAAGACCGAACACTTAGGAAAAAATCCTTTGATCCGGCCGAATTCGAACCGAACGTCTCCTAGTAAACCGTGAGAGACGCTATGCCACTTAGTTGGCACGGCGTGGCATGGCATGCCACGAACCGAATCAGCGGACCTTACGGATTTTTTCTATGCGCTTGTTGTCGGATCTTTGTATTTAGATTTCAACGACTTTGTAGCCGTAGCACCATCTATGAGAAATCTGTGAAAGTATGTCGTCACCCAGTTAGATACCTTTTATTTATTTATTTATATGCATTTCACATATAGTCTTAAGTGTTATATATAGTACACAAACTTAGAACTATGGTAGGAACTACATGTGAGACCCTGTAAGGGCGTAGCAAAATACACTTATGACATAATACATATTTTAACCATAATAATATAAATTAGAGTTTTATCGTATAACATTCATAAAATTTTCCCCTACACAATTGTTAACTTTGTTTAAGTCTTTTAATATTCATAATTTTAGAGTAATAACAATTTTATCGAACAGTGTTGTCGTCAATATTAATATAATAATAATTCAGATAACAGAATATAAAAGCTAATATCACTATTGATACGGAAAAATAGTTTCATTTCCTATGAAATGAAACTATTTTTCCGGATTTAAATCGCGTATATTTGTTTTTTCAAACAAACCGACGTTTCGGGCCCTTTACAGGTCCCTGCCAATATCAACTTCTTATCTTAATCTTATATCTCTGCCTATTTATCAAAATTCAATTTATTTTTTGTATTTTAAACTCTAAATTGTAAATTTTAAATTGTAACAGCCTTTACAGCTACCAGCCCTGGCTAGAGATGTCGCTATTAATTGTAACTTCTATTTTTATTGAATTAATATTAAATTATTTTTTGTGAAATTACTCCATTAGTTTGTTATAATATAAGATTGAATACTTAGAAAAAAATCTTTCGATCCGGCCGGATTCGAACCGACGTCTAGTAAACCGTGCCAGACGCTATGCCAACTAAGGCACGGAACGAAAGTTTTCACTTTTATTAATTGCTCATTTGTTTCTAGAGCACTTTCTCACCTTAATATGAGCCATCTTTTTTGGTGACATCAGGTTCACTGGCTGATCGTAAATATCATCTTTCGCCTGGAAATTTAAGCGAATTGTAGGTTTATTTTTACATTTAATAAAAGCATAAGTTGGTCAGTAAAACTTTATTTTTGTTTTATAAAATCAAGTGACGGAACGAACAAGTGGAGCGCATTCACACATCACTTAATAATAGTTACTTAATCACTCACTTCAACTCATAAAAAAATCCAAAATATACTACGCTGTAATAGCCTATTAAATCTGACTAATGACACCAGGCGTTCACTATGAAGGAAAAGGAACCTAAACACGCGCCCAGAGAGGCAAAAATAACTATGCCCGCCGTGTGCAGTCGCGCGGATCCGAATGCCCATAAATGAAAGACTTGTATGAGCGCTTGTACCGACGTCGGTACGCTCATCGGTAGGCACTTATAGTGACGGAGCCCTGGCCTAGTGCTAAACGACACGCCTATCCATGGCAGTTGCAGTGCCACTCAGAGCTTTAAATCGCAAAGATCTGAAGAGCACTGCCACTGCGCCTGTCACCCTGGTCGTGACGACAGATAGTCGTGTAGTTTAAAGTGTCGTGTCTTGTATATTTAAATGAAGTTATTCACACAGAACAATACGATTAACTGTCATTCACGACTTTTTTGACTTTACGACGACAGACTGTCGTAACAATGTAAAGAGCTAGAACGTCATTCGTCCGACGATAAATAAAAACGTGACGACAGATGGTTATCTATCGCAGCTTCAAACTATTCTGTCGTGCAAACGACAAGGCGGTTGCCGTGAACCGGTAAATTGTCGTCACGATCTAGTGGGAACAGCTAGACACGACAGTCGTACAACGATAAAATAAACGTCCACGACATAGTCACGACGGATAGTCGTGATATGGGAACAGGCTTGACGCGACAGTCGTCCAGCGATAAGTAAAAAGCGTTACGATATATTGGGAACGCGCTCTCTCTGTGTTTTGGTTTTGAAGAGGATGGGTGCTAGTGAAATTACAGGCACATGGGTCCCTTGTCTACTTATGTCTCAGGGTGCGCAGTGGCAGTGCCCCTCAGATCTTTGCGATCTAAAGCTTTGAGTGGCACTGCAACCTGTTATATGCAGGCGTGTAGCTCGCCACCAGACACACGACTTGTTCGCTCCGTCACTTGATATTATAAAAAAATCGTAAAAAAATCCTACGCGACACAGACGTCCCACCGCTGTGCACAGTAGACCATAAAGAAGAGCCTTCTTTATGGTCTTAGTAGGTACTTACATGCGGGTAGTTCACGAAACTGGCTTCTGGTTTACTGTGCAACATACGAGCCAGTGACAGCAGCTGAAACGCAATCATCATCAATAATCTGTCTAGTACCGGTTTCCTTTAATGAGATGGTTAAGTTTTTACGTGCATACAAAATGTACTGTGTTTGGGTAAACGTACTGTGATGCGACAGATGATACCAGTCTCCTTAAACTTTTCTCTGAGAGAAACTCGAGAACCTAAACGGTATTATATAATAATAATAATTTTTGATAACATGATTGTTTGATAATGTGTTCAATAATATATACAATAAAACTTAAAAAAACTTTTTAATAATAATAAACAGTAACAATATTTTTATCGATTACCTGCGAGACAGGCTTTGCCTAGTGCAGGAATCGTAGGAAATTCTCTGTACGCGATATACGCTACAATTGAGTTGTGTTACCTGGTTCTTTGTCGTAACTAAATTGTAATGTGCCTGCACAAGTTCATTTGTAAAATAAATTATTTTGTATTTTTTTTTTGTACACAGAACGAATCGCTCGTTTTTGCAACATAAATATGGTTTGTAACTACTTTCCTTATTCTGATTTGTGATTACTCGAGAATCTCTTGTTTTTATAGCAGGGTAAAAAGTTTACTCACCAACATCCACTGAAGTAAGTACCACATTGTGAACACGCTCGTCAGTCGCTTGCTGTAAAGCGACTGTAACGCCTTTGATACAATTTACTTTATTGCCCGAATATTTTATTGGTTAGATAATTGGATTTCTTATTTTACGATTTTATTTATATTCCAATTACGGTAATTGAGTCAATATCCTATAGGCAGAATAGCAGAATAAGCAAGCTGATGTGGCAGTGGGATGGCAATATTAGAAATTAGCAATGCCAGAGGTATAGCTGTAACGTTTAAAAACACTTTTATGTAATAAAAGTCTCCTTTAGGTGCGGTCTGTGTTTAGTACAGCGGTCCCGGTGACGCAATAAATATGATGTTTACGGCCAGGTATGTGGTGAAAGCTATTCAGTCTATAACAAGTGGCAAGTCTCCCGGGTACGACGGGCTTAGTATTGAACACTTACGGCACACCCCGGACACTCCATACAACCGTCGAAAGTTATTTATCTACTATTGCTACATATAGCAAGGCGCTATCTGCACACGCGCAAATGTGTGCGTGAAGTGGCAGGGTTGCCCATTACTTTCACGAGTCTGTTATCTATAATTCTATTAATAGAATCCTAATAATTACATACGTTCATTACGTATTTATATCGATAAAATATTATATTTTTCATTAATTCACTAACTAGAATAATATTGACGATTTATTTAAAAAATATATTAAAATCACTTAAATTTTGGACGGGTACATTTAAATAGGGTGACCAAAATATTTAAAATTTGTGTCCAAGTTTATCATTACCAAAAACAAATTGAAAATTCGAGAACCCTTGTCTAACTCATGAATTAATGGCGTCTTATTATATTGATATAATAAATCTAAAGAAAACAATAACCGAATGAGCCTTTGACATTAGTTTTTTTGTCCCGTTTAGGTGATTATAAACAGTCGTATACAGCACAATTCACGACCATATTGTAAATAGTAACGTAAAATGATGTTATATTACAATTTTTATAATTAACGTACAAATTTCTTAATTAATAAATGAAAAATGTATTCAAATATCAAAGCCGTCTTAGCGCAAATGGCTCACCGACAGCCTTATTGTCGTTCAGTCAATGTGATCGTCAACGTGCGGGGCGTGGTGCGGTATCCAAAGCTAGGGAGGGGCGGAGAGTGTCCGTTCTTGTTACTTTTTAGTGCTCTGCTTGCGGCACGGCGGTCCACATATATCGCGAGTGCTTGCACTTCTTTATAACCTTTGTATTAGTTACTCATTCCTGCCCAGGACCTCATGAAGACAGTGTTAGTACCAGTCATAAAAAATAAAACTGGAAATTCATCTGACATAGGGAACTACAGAACTATCTCCCTGGCGACTACAGTGGCTAAGCTGCTTGACAGCCTGCTTAACACACCATTTCGGATTTCGACCTAACTTATCAACGGAGAGCGCTTATTTTGTCATTACGGACTTTCCGTAAGAAATGCTTTAATTGGTTATTGTCCAGGCAAACATTGGCGGTAGGCATTGTACTGTAGTTGTGTGTGGATAGTGCTCTGTGTGTAATAGTAATGAAAAAATCTATATAACGATTCATGTGTGTGGTAAATATCTAATAATCGGCTCGAAATCTTATTACCTTTGAACTAGAATGATAGTGTGTGTTAGTTCATCTTCTTTTTATGAACATGACAGGCTGTAGCAGAACAGAACAGAGCGGCGTTGTGAAACACTCCGTCATTGTGTTGAGCTACATACCTTATTATCTCACACCACTATTTTTACTAAACACTGTGTAGAGCTTTATATTATTTTTATTTTTACTTATTAATGTGTGGAGATACATAAACGATTTCATTAATATTATTATACTGTGTCTTAAGCAAACTGTTAAATATTATACTGACAGGAGTACGCAAATTGACGCCGGTTTCTTAGATCTGTCTAAGGCTTTTGATCTGGTTTCCTACGATATATTGTGGCGGAAACTACACAGCTTCAGCTTACCTAGTAAGGTAGTTAATATGTTCAAGAATTGGTTTGGGAACCAGATCAACTGCGTCAGATGGGCGGATGAGATGTCTGAGTCCTACAGGTTGGAGTGTAAGGTGAGGCAAAATAGGATTGTAAAAAAAAGAAGCCTCCGGGGACCGTGGACTTAATGTTAAAAATTACGTCTTCACATATCATCTGAAACTCAAAATGCCTTGAGCCCCTAAATGCCTGAAATTCATATCGACTCTATCTAATAATGACTAAATTACAAAATACCAAAGGTATTTCGTACATTCCATTACAAAAGTGTATTGTGTGCTCTTTTCTGTTCATGTCATCTAGAATACAAAAAGAATATCTTGGTTGTTCTAGAACAAGCTTCGATCTTATAACACGCAGTCAATCTTTGTTCATGAATATAATACTCGTTTATGTTGTGAAAAGCGCCTCTCGCTACGCAATCTCATGACTGCACCTTTTTACAGTACACAGCGAACCAAATTTTTTCGACACGCAATTGTGTAATAGATAAAATTGTTTATTTAAAAAAAAGGCTTTGGTGTTTTAAAAGTTTTTATTTGTAAGTTTTATTTAAGTTTATGAAAGAAGAAAGATGAAAAATATGATATTATCCGATGATGATACTGTTGGTTTTCGAATTGACATTTGAAATTTTACTCGACGATCAATTTTCATTATGGAGGCAAACGGAATAGGAATAACGCATTGTTATTTTTAATAAATTCTCTTGTTGTGTTAAGGTGTTAGACGCTGGATAGGCTTCGAGCTTCTGGAGTAGAGGCAAGCTGAATGAACGCCGAGTGACGATCCCGCCATATTGGCATTTTTGATGTTTCGCTTGGTAACTCTGAGAACATTGAGATAGATTTTCTGGTAGCAAACGTTCTATTGTCATATGTTTAACTAGAAATAATCAACTGCCTGCTGATAACTAGTTTAAGTAGCAGTAGCTTCGTCCATCTTCGTCCAAGAGTTCGTCCATCTTACCTAATGTATGAGCATTACTGCGTTCCGGTTTTTTAAGTAAGTAAGTAAGTAAATTCTTTATTTCCGCCACAAATGTTTAACCCTGTGTTTTAAGGCCTCCAGGCCTCCACCTCCCGAATTTCTGATCAGTAAATCAATAAGTCTATGGAAACAAATTATATAATAAAAAAAGAAAAGAGAAAAGAAAAAAAAACATGTGAGAGTGCGTTAATTACAGCTGGGGTAATTACAGCTTTTGCGCACTACGTCCGATTCGTATCAGGGGGTCTACTCTCTATCTCCGTCAGACATCCGTCCGAAACAATTACTGCCAAATAAGCAATACTTGACCAAATGAAAAGACGCGTGATGCGAATGAAGCTTCATACTTGATGCCTGTCTTTTAATTTTGTCGAATATTACTTATTTCACAGTAATTGTTTCGGACGGATGTCGGATGGAGATCGAGAGTAGAGTCACTGGGATCATTTTATCTTTAAGTGTACAAGCGATATTTGTATTTTCTCGGACTCGATTTGGACTTGGTTCATAAGCGACATCAGAAGTGGGCACGAGTTTTCTAATTTTTGTAGTCTCGGATAAGCTAAGGGCGTTTGTGCATTGCATCCGATACGTATTCATTCCAAATCCGAGACTATACAAATCTAGAAAGCTCGGACCCACTTCGAATGTCGCTTGTGTACTGAGTCTGTAGATACAAAATGACTCCTGTGACATTTCGGATCGTCATTTCTCGAATTTGGAAGTGATACGATACGGACGTCGTACGCAAACGCTCTAAGGGTGCTGGTGAAATTTCAGACAAGGGACTTGTGAACTTATGTCTCAGGGTGAAGGGCGCAGTGGCCATTCAAATCTTTGTGATTTAAAGCTGCAACTGCTATGGACAGGCATGTCGCTTACTACCAGGCGCACGACTTATTTGTCCCGTCACTTGATGTCACTAAAATATATAGTTATGTATTTTATTATGAAAATCTGTTTCCTCAAGTCGTACACACGCCTACACGCAGAGCTATAAATCGCAAAAATCTTAGTCATCCTGAGACATAAGTTAACAAGTCCCATGTGCCAGTAATTTCACCAGCACCCTTACCCTTCAAAACCGGAACGCATTAATGTTAACATTACTGCTTGGCCGCAGAAGTAGTTAAGGTGGCAGTACTTCCCTGGACGAATTCTTTCACAAGCTCTACTGCTTTTAGTACCAGCAACTGAAGTCTGTCATGGAAAAAGGAACCTATTTCTATATATTGTAAAAAAGATGAACGAAAAGGGTATTACCTTCTGGAGTTTGAGTACTTTCGATGGCAGGGGCCTGTTGATGTTTGAGATAGGCAAAATGCTGCTCGGCCGCCGGGCTAAGCTGCAGCGTGACCTCGCGAAGCCGGCGCAGCATTACGCCGCGAGATATTGACAGTAGACGACTTATAATCAGAACTGTAATTAAAATGTGAATTTATATAATCAAGGTGTTATCTTAAGTACTGCCCGTCCCTCCGCCACGGCGGAAACGTCATCTCGTGCCTGTCTCTGAAGTTGCAAAACCACAGAGGCAGACAGGTCAGTATGACGAGGACGGCTTTACAAGAGGAAGCCCACCAGCCGTAACCTGCGTGGCCCAACACCGACAGGATCTAACTTTTTGCTGCGTCCGGCCATAATGACGACGCTGCTGCACCTGTCGCGATTACATTATTCCACGAAGTCTGAGGAGATAGTGGAGTACATCAGGCTAAAAGCATGTTGCATGTACGAATACTTAGCTTTGCTAACCCTTTTCCACCGCAGCTGAGCTAAGCGAGGCTAGGAAAATGAAGTAATCCTATTGGTGGTTTTTTCCTCGCACGCCGCCTCGCTACGTCGCACATCTCTGGTGGAAAGGCAGCCTAAGAGTCTATCCAACTTCAAATGGCTGGTTGATTAAGGTAGCTCGAAATTGTACAAGAAAACCGTTGCATTCAATAGGTACTTTACATATATATACCAATGATTTTTTTTTATATCAACTGAATTAAATAGAACTCGTATACTATACGATATACCAAAATTTTTCAAATGGCGTTAATTTTGTTTGTAAAGAAGAAATTCTGAAATTTCAGAAAGAAGAAAAACAGAAGACTGGACGCCGCTCGATTTAAGCAAAATAAACCGTATTAGTACGGAAAAAATTCGAATTCAAACCGAGGTAGACTCTTTAAGTAGTTTGATATCGCACCCCACATGCAAAATGGCATAAGTGGAGTTACGTAAACTTATTTATAGCTCCATCAGCCACAGAAAAATATAACCCACATCTTCTTTAATTCTTGAACTCTATCTACAATATTAGTCGCTATAGTTTCAAGAATTGGAGAGGATGTGGGTTATAATTTTCTGTGTCTAATGGAGCAATAAACTTTTTTAACGTAACTCCACTTATGCCATTCCTCCATGAGGCGTGCGATATCACAAAAATGTATTATGTCCCAATATATAATAATATTTAATATTATTCCTATTATGGACTATTTTTACAATACTTACCCATTTCTAAAGACTGCGTAAGTTGAATGTGTAGTTTAAAATAATTATTATTTCCCCTTAATGGCGTCGTCGCTAGGGTTTGGTAGAAATGGATGGGTTACTGTCACTTTTTTTAACAATTGTAAATTGTCATCTATTTTTTACTTTTGTTTAGGCAGAATTTCGTTAAAAAGAGATTTGTGTGGTTTGTAAAAAGATTTCATTTCTATCATTGGATTAAATTTTTCACCAAGGCGTTTTATATTTTTCGATACACTCGAAAAAAATAAAAAATATGTTTTATTTGTAGAATAAATTAGTGATTATAAGATAAAAAATAAGATACGCGTAGATCCTTCAGTTGAATTTCAATTTCAATTTCAATTTCAATCTTTATTGCTTTTCCATAATTTGTACAAGATGTTATAAAAATACAAAGACCATTTATGGACCCTGTCGGGCACAGCAAAATGAGAGGGAGGCATTTTTAACAATTTAGAAATTATTATTTTATTATTTTATATTTAAAACTACTTATATTATTTTATAATCTATATCGATATGATGTATTTCAGTGTTATTTATTTTTAAATGACATTGAAATTATTTTTATTTATTTGTATTTATTTGATTTTTCAAGAATTTAGAAATCGAAATAATATATTATCTTATAATCGATACGAATGTGTATTTTGGTGAAGTCTTCAGTATTTTAATAAGACCCGTGTAACGTCTTTAGTTTAAAATATGAATTACACAGAAGACAATCGAAACATATTTACCGAAGAAAAAGCGAAACTTATGACTAGGCAGTATGGTCTCTGACCATCGCCTATTCCATACGGAACGAATGAAAAAAAAGATACTATATAGATTTCGTGGTTATGTACTAAATGATTATCACTAATTTCAGGTTTCTTACCACGGTATGACTTCTTTTTATTTTCCCGATATTTCGGAACGGTTGCACGCTCCATAGTCACGGGTTGACTAGACAGCGGCAGATGAGAGCTTTAAGAGCACACATATCTGTTTACCCTCTTGCGCTGTCGACGACTACTACCTTAAACAAATCGCGACGAGTCTCTTAATAATTCATAAGATTTTTTCGTACAAAAGTAATAATGGATTCAAATAAATAGCTCTAAACGGTAATAGCTCTGTGTAGGACGAGGTTGGGAGGACGCTTGCACGTTTAAACTTATTCCACCAAAAAAAGAACTAAAAAGTATCAAACAGAGTAACAAAAACTTATAAAGTTTATTTTTGTTAAATTTATTATGTTTTCTAAAAAGTCATGGAACATTATTTATGTATTTATTAATTTTATCTTAGAGGGTACAAACAGCTTATATACTTAGAGTAATAATGCATAGAAACCTAGTCCGCACACGCTAAGTGAGGCAAATTGAAGCGCTCCCAAAGGCCTACATTAGCGGGCGGACCGTCAGTGCTCAAGGTCAATTTGCACCGCGAACAGCAAAAGAATTTTAGCTAAAAATGACGAAATGTGCGGTAAATGAGTGTAAAAATACGTCAGACAAACATAAAATAGTTACTAACATCACATTCCACAAGGAAGTAACGCGTTTTAACAAAAATATATATATACACATACTACAACAAAATAGAAATTAAAATGACATTGTTAAGCAAACAGTTTGCCGTTGATATAAATTATATTAGCTAAAAGAGGATTGGTTCTACAAACCGTTTAGAAAAAATAATAAAAAAGGACAATAAAAATTGTCAATTTTATTTCTTGAGAAACGTAAAACTAAAATCACGTCGAGGTCACCAATTTGAGGAATTTATCGCTCCACTAACGAACAATAAAGTAAAGTAAAGACAGAAGTCTTCTATTCCAGGAAATCTCACACAAAAATAAAAACAACTCAAGTTGCCGTGATGAAGAAAACAATGTATTGTATTCTTAAGTCGTCGTGACAAGGAACACTTTAAAAAACTTAAATCAAAATTCGAAATAATCACAGACATACATAGAAGGTCAGCAAAAAGGGTCAGCAAAAAGGTTTACCTACAAAAACGGCCTCGTGACCTTCATGAATTATAATATTTCGTAGATTTACAAATTAGTTTTTAGCGAACAGTTAAAATTATTTCCCATCGCCGACTTGTGAAAATTCACGTAACTAAAAAACTATCGAATATTTTTGGCAATTGTGACACTCTCCTTGACGACTCTCGTCCAAAGAGCCACAGCGAGCCGGTGATAATAAATACACCAGATTTTAAAAAAACACAAGATTAACACATTGTGGCCACACAGCTGATACCCCGGTCATATTCCAGTAACCCATCTAATAGTATTAACATATTAATGACAATCGCAAAACCAGCATAAAATAAAACTGTAGTTACACTATATAAACCAAAAAGAAAAACAACAATTAACAAGGGCCGGCAGCCTTGCCCAACGCATTAGCATACCCGTTCAAAGGTGGAACTGTTCCAGCATCTCGGGCACCTTGCCGCGGCGACCCAATTTTATTCATATAATTTAGAAATCCTAGTTTTACTTCGTAATATTTAAGCTATTACTGTACCTTACCTGTATATTATCACAATAACAAACCTGCTTGTTAATTTACTTCAAAATTAACAACAATAAACCTTATATTAACAAAGTGTTCATTATCACACTTCACTAATAAAAATGCACAAGATAATAAATAAAGATCAATCTCCAAATGAATAAAGAGTCTCAATGGAATTACAATGTCCACTGGCTTAAGATTTTTTTTTATAGTAGGGAAACCCAGTGTCGCGGGTGCCATGGACACACAACCACAAATTACACCCAAACTCACGAGAGAAATCAATGTATACCATGCAAATATTTCTCCCGGCCCGGGAACCGAACGTGTGACCTCTGCGTGGCATATAAAAAAAAAAAACAAAAATTAACAACAATAACTCTTTTATTGACAAAACTGTTCATTAGTAAAAACTATTGACAAAACTGTTCACTAATAAAAAATGTACAACTTGTGTTGAATAGATCAATCTCAAAATGAATTGAAAATCTATTAAAATTATTACAAAAAATTAAATAAAGTATTATCTCAGTAGTCTTAGGGCCCCAGATACCATACGATGTTTTTATTCAAATTCAAGTCCAAGTATTGCTTCATAATAAACATTCGTGTGTACATTTGTACATATTTTTAGAGATGGGTAAAACTGCTTATTTTTTAAACGTTTAAACGTTATGCTTTTTTTTTAAAAAAGCGTGCTTTTTTAAACGCTTTTTCATTTAAACGCTTTTTAGTGTGAAACTAACAAAATCGTTTTCGTTAAATAAGCTTGCAACGTTGTGTTGATAGCGAAAAGCAAAAGTAGACCACTAAAGGTTTTAAGATAAGTAAGTTATTTAAAAAAAACGTAAAAAACGAGTTATATTTTTATTTATGTCATAACATTTTTATATTAACATTTTGTTCATTGGCGTTTAAAAGCGTAAGTTGTTTAACTTTGTAGTTGTTAATCGTGGAAATGGACAAAACTGCTTATTTTTTTAACGTTAAAACGTATGTTTAAAAAGCGTGCTTGTATAAGCGCTTTTCACACTCTTTTTAGTTTGACGCTTAAAAAGTCGTTTAGAAAAACGTTTAAGCGCATAGACCAACGCTTACGCTTAAAATGAAAAACCTGCTTATGTGCTTATTTTAAAAAGCAGACTTTTTTAAGTGCTTTTCGTTTAAACGCCCACCTCTATATATTTTTATGCACGTAACGGGTGTCTGAGGTCAGTGATACTGACTAGTGTGGCGCGAGGCGGGCGCGTCCTTTGTCTAACACAAGGAAAATATTGCTAAAATATCTTTTAGAAAACGACCCAGTGACACAAAAAAGTATTTTTCTTTGGAAGGACAAGAAATACATCAAAGGTATGTTATACAATATCTTACAATGCGTTCACGCGTTTAGTTACTTATACAAACGTAATATTTATTTAGATTTATGCTAATTTTTTTAAAAAAGGATCCCCTTAGATTACATTCTGTAAAAATGTTGTGAGCAGTGATCTTGATTTTAAACGACTTAAAAAAAGGAGGATGTCCTCATTTCGACTGTATTTTGCTTTTGTTATACAAACAAAAGCAAAATACAGTCCAATAACTTGTTTTGTGATAACTTAGGTATTTGTGAAACCATTTTGACATTTTGTTGTAGTTTCAGTAGAACTACAACAATATACAATATAAAATATATAAGACAAATATTTACGTAAAGACTTACGGGACTGTAGAAAAGTTATGGGCTGAGGTACAAAATGTTACAAACTCTCGACTCTAATATCTTCGTATTAGAATCTAATAAAGTAATATTAGGCTATTATTGGATTGCATGGATGTCTTTAATTAAAACACCCAATGTCCATTAAAGGGATCTCATCCTTACCGTTGTTACTATTGATTACTGGTTGTTATTTATTGCATTTTTAGTTGTTTAGAATCCCGGCTTACGTAAGCTTTTAAAAAAATCTGCGAACGCAGTTATTCATTAAGAAAGATCAAAGAACATTGCCTAGTTGCGTAGTAAGTAAAATTTGTCCTCAGAAACATATAACGTAGTTTCTTTTCATGTCACATGGATTTTTTCCACCCTGAATAGTGGGTAGGTGTAAATGTATGCGTAAATACTAATATTAACACTAATTTAGTAATTACGTACAGTTAACGATATATTGGTTTTACGAAGACACTAAAAGTGACACGTCCTTGTTGGACCAGGAAAATGCTATAAGGAAATATTGAACTAGATTTATTATTCTGCTAATATATACACAACATCTGACCGGTTGTTTTGATTAAATATGTTAACATATGCAACGTGAAATGTATGTTACCTATATGTGTACATACATGTACAATAGAGTTGCAACGAATAGTCGGTAACTATTCGGTTGACTCGACTTGGTTTTTGCTATTTGGCTGAATACCGATTCATCATCTTCATAGATATGATCATCATCATGATTTCAGCCGAAAGACGTCCACTCCAGCAGGGCTAAAAAGGCCGTATTGGCAGAATCATAATATGATTAATTGATAATTCATATTATAAATTTCTTACAATTCATATAACGTTACCATTGTCACTCACTTTTTTCACACAAACCGTGAGTGACAATGGTGACAAACCGTGAGTGACAATGATAACGCCACAACAAATCGCGATGAAGGTAGTCGTCGACAGCGCAAGAGGGTAGACAGATATGTCTGCTCATAAAGCTGTCATCTGCCGCCGTCCAGTCAACCCGTGACCATGGAGCGTGCAACCGTTCCGAAATATCGGGAAAATAAAAAGAAGTCATACCGTGGTAAGAAACCTAATACTAGTGATAATCATTTAGTGAATAACCACGAAAGTCTTAAAATCCATGAATTACCAATTAATCATATTATGGTTATGCCATTACGGCCTTTTTAGTCCTGGCGTAGGCCTCCACCAAAGATCGCCACAAAGACTGGTCTTGTTGTGCTTGCATTTTTTTTAAATAACTTGTTATAATTATTACCACAGAGATCTAAAAATTTCTTGCAGAAATCCGTGCTAGATGCTATGCTAACTAAGGGCGTAGGTTAGGTTAGTTCCCTATTAGATAGTCGTACAATTTAAAGTGTCGTGGCTTGTATGTTTAAATGACGTTGTTCACATGTAGTAAAATACGATTAACTATCGTTCATGACTTTTTTGGCGTTACGACGACAGACTGTCGTGACAATGGGAAGAGCTACAACGACAGTCGTCAGACGATAAATAAAACGTGACAATAAAATATGACGACAGATAATCGCAGCCTCAAACGATTCTGTCGTGCAAACGACAACGCGGCTGCTGTGAACCGATAAATTGTCGTCACGATCTAGTGGGAACAACTCGAATTCGATATGGGAACAGGCTAGACACGACAGTCGTCCAACGATAAATAAAACGTTACGACATAATGGAAACGCACCCTAAGCCACGGAACGAACCAGCAGATCTCTACCAGCAAAAAGGTCGCTATTCTTGAATGTATACTTAGTACAAAAGCAGTAGAGCTCCTTGTGAGAGAGTTCCTCCAGGGAAGTACTGCCACCTTAGCTATTTCTGCCGCAAAGCAGTATTGTTAGCATTACTGTGTTCCGGTTTTGAAGGATAAGGGTGCTGGTGAAATTATAGACATATAGGACTTGTCAACTTAAGTGTCAGGGTGACGGGCGTAGTACTAGTGCCCCTCAGATCTTTACAACTTAAAGCTCAGAGTGGCACTGCAACTGTTATGGACAGGCATGTCGCTTACCATCAGGTGCACGACCTGTTCGTCCCGTCACTTGATATCGTAAATAAAAAATTAATATAACTTTAGGCAACCAGCCATACTGATGGACGCGTTTTTTGAAAGTAATGCAAAGATTTCCGAGCGTGTTCGAGAAAAGTGTATTTGGAGCATGCTACTATACTAACATAGAAGTGGGTTTAATTCCTTAATCATCCTATTCATAACAAAACTAGTGGAGTTACTTCACAAAAAAAATATCAATATAAATACATTTGATCTGAAGCGATATCTGCGTCAGTTGTGATACATGCAAAGGTATCGGCTGCTGTGAGACAGTTATTCACATTGCTCTCACAAGATGTCACTAGCGGCGACGAAAGCCGAAAAGCTTCGAGTATATAAGCAGAAATAGAGACGAAATGTCATTTAATTTGTTTGAAAATTATTCTGCCTTATCATTACTGTGACAATTGCGCTCCGATTGGCTAGCCCGAGTTCGAAACAATTGACGGGTGTCGTCAACTGTTTCACTTCAAATCGACAAGTTTAATTGAGCTTTGCTATAATGGACGAAAATTGCAAAATTACATGTTTACTATTTAATTACCGATGAAATTTGATTCTGTTTGTTTTGTATTTGTAATTGCCTCCGCGGCCGAACGGTTACCATACTGGTCTGCCACGCAGAGGTCCCAGGTTCGATTCCCGGGCCGGGAGAAATATTTGTATGGTCTACATTTATTTCTCTCGTGAGTTTGGGTGTAATTTGTGTTTGTCTATGTGTGTGTCCATGACACCCGCGACACAGGGTTTCCCTAGTGCGGGGCTATGATGAGTGTGCGCGTTATTATTATTATTATTAATTAGATGTTTTGCTGTTTTTCCCATAGCACCGAATGGAACAGCCCCCTATAGTTAGAGACATTATCTTTATTACAATAAATATAGAATATTTTTGGTATTTACGGAGACGTAGACACAAATCAGTTATTGGCGCTGTACTATTTCAGCTTTCTAATTTGAATAGAAGTGATGTGAGTACCGTAGTCCTTATTTTGTCTCTATTTCTGGTTATATACTCGATGCCGAAAAGTCAGTGGAAAGATCTATAACAAAAACACATAAGGGAATTTCGACGACTCGGTAACTAGGCCCGTAGCTCAGTTGGTAAGAGCAATGCTACGGTGCAGCATGGACGTAGTTTCAAGTCCCGCCGGGACGACAAAATTTTTTTCTGTGTGTTTAATCTTTGTATTATATTTTTTATTCTTTCATAGATGTACATATTGTTACTTCTACCACTATTCGTGGTAGCAACAGCCCAAGACCATGAAAACCAAGGAGACCTGGATTCTTTAATTCATTATTATAACCAATACACTACGCCGCCACAGCCCGGCGATGACAGCGATACGACTACTGAAAATAACCTTGGAGTTGAGAAGCGTGATGTTAAACAAGAAGCAACATTTGTATATAGTGAGTAACATTTTTGTTAAATACACGAATTACGAAAGAAATTTTTTCATTCATTCATATTCAGATTAATTTATTTCTCAAACATAACATTACAGTATAAATTGCACTACATGTCAAAGCATAAGAAATTATATTGAGATCGTCA